CCCCCCCCACGTCCCTCATGCCTATGCAGAGCTAACTTAATGGAAACCCGTTATGTAGTACGTGTGCAGTCACATACACAGCCACACACACAGAAGGCATTTTGAGAGGAAGCAGCCTCCTAATTTAGAGGTTTGAGTCTGGGAAAAGGGAGAAAGGGTTGTGGTAGGTGTCAGTCTCCGACCTTATTAAGTTAAGACTAGAGAATACGTACGAAGTGAGCTATTTTGGATCTCCAGACACTGACTATAATCTGATCCTAAGTAGCCTTGTCTTAACGAAGGTAAAAGTAAAACGCGAACAAAGACAGCTCTCCTGGTCTCAATTAGGAGAATAGTGTTATCATTGCTATGACATGCAGAGCAGTCAGAGTTATATTCCCCTCAAATTGAAACAATGGCACACTTTTGGTGGCTGTCACTGTGCAGCACAGTGTTCATGTCCTTCTGAAATTGTCAGAAAATTGAAATTTATCGCTTCCCTTTTCCGCAGTTATTATTGTTTTTCGTTTTGTTATTAATGTTTTGTGTTTTACGCTCACGTCGACATAATTTAGATTAATTAGGAAGTGGGCTTCAACTTTGCAAGACTGGGCCAACCCGGGCTGAGAGTAATGTAACGGCCTAATAGAAAGACCGAGATATTTAATAAAAACTCTTAACACATAAATTGAACTCCGGTTTTCTGGTCTGTGTGCTTCGACGGAGCGGCCATCCGCTACACCGGACACTGGTTTAACTTTTGTTTGTAGATACGATTTACCTTCAAAGTCATTGTGTGAAGTTCATACTCTCTGATTTACAAAACTATAGCATTAGCAGCAACATCTACGCTAGTTGAGAAGCAAGAAGTCGCTTCTGAGAATAATAATATAACGCATGGCACACGCCCATAATGATTTATACAAGCCGGAGCAGGGAACATATGGAGCTGGCAACAGGTACAACGTCTCCATCTTTCTCACAGATTCTCAGGTCAAGGGCAAACGTAAGTTGATGAAATCTGAGCAGCAAAATAGGTAACAGGAGAGAGAGAGAGAGAGAGAGAGAGAGAGAGAGAGAGAGAGAGAGAGAGAGAGAGAGAGAGAGAGAGAGAGGGAA